AAACGATCGACTCGCTTTCGACATCACAATTCTTACCCGCCGCATCGTTCATTCGAGCGCCCTACTTCGCTGCCTACCTTAGCCGCGTCAAATCCAACGCTCAGCTCATCTCAGCTCAATACCGCGCACACGCTACCTCGCGCACTGAACAGCACACAGCGCACCCGTCACAACAACATCTCCAGCGCCCTTTTTCTATTTTGGCCGACAGCCCAACCACCACACTCCTTTCCACGCCAGTCTCCAGAGGTCTTGCATTCCAGCCACGACAACCCCCTAGCGGCATTCGAATCACGTACCCACCGTTGGATTGGCACCGCTTCGCCCATTTTACCGAACAATCCGTCCGCTTCGATTGCTCGACTTGTGGACGTCTTCTAGTCGCTCGACTCACATTCGCAACCGTGACATTTTTCGAGGCTTTCTCTCGAAATTTGCACCGAGGCAATTAACTATACGCCCGACGAACCCGCACATCATTCTCTATGCCATCCTACGGCTCTCTGCATTCACCATCATTGCGCAAAATGGAACAATCAAGGGTTCAGTACGGGAGGAAGGGCATTAATCTGGGGAACATCATTGGTGATCCCTTCGCCTTGGCTACAGTCTCCATCTCCATGGTACGTCGACATTCGAGAGCGTCTTACGAATCCCCGGCTCTTCTCGTCCGGTTGCTCTGTTGTCAATGCTTGTACTAACAGCCCCTTTAGCTAGCATGGATAATCGCTTTCATCAGCTCCATCATCGCGACAACACAGGTCACAAATAGCTCCGGCTCCTTCCCGCCATTCGCATGGTGGACCGTCGTCTACATGTTCTTCCTTATCGCAGGAGTTTTCGTCGTTGTCGCTTCCGACACAGCGCAAACCTACCACGTCGCCCTTACGGGATACCTGGGTGCAGCTCTGGCCCTGAACTCATTGACTATCCACTCCCTCATCTACTCCTCCAACGGTGCTCGCCAAGCTGCTGGCGCTGGCTTCATTCTCATGGCCATGGTCACCGTATGTTCTCCGCCACTTGAATGAGGGCCAAATGCTGACATTGCGCCTACAGATTGTCTGGATCTTCTACTTCGGCTCCGCCCCCTCAGCGAAGCCGCGCGCCTACCTTGATTCCTTTGCGCTCCAGAAGGAGTCCGGAAACCGGCAGATGATGTACGGCGGTGGCCGACCCGAAACCTCAACCTCGGTTCAGCCTCCCCAGATGTACACCTCAGCGCAGCTCAATGGCTTCGAGAACCCATCCCCCGTTCAGGGTATTCCTACAACACAAACTCGTAACTCCGGCGTAGCCCCGACGTTCAACGCGGCGCCACCGGCCGCGAAGCCTCCTGGTCTTGACCAAGAAGTGGTGCCCCCCACCGAATACCCCTACCGCGCGAAGGCCATCTATAGTTACGAGGCCAATCCCGACGACGCGAACGAGATCTCCTTCTCAAAGCACGAGATTCTGGAGGTTAGCGACGTGAGTGGAAGGTGGTGGCAGGCACGCAAGGAGACGGGCGAGACGGGTATCGCGCCAAGCAACTACCTGATCCTGTTATAATGAGCTCATGATTTTCATTTCGCCGTTGGAGATGGGAGCAAAAAATGACCATATGGGACATGGAATGGTTTCGCGCTCAAATGCTTGTTGGAGTACATTAAGGTCTTCTTGTCCGGGATAAAACCATCGCTGCCTCTTTTGAGCCACAGGCGGCACGTATATCCGCCGAAACGGCTTCTCTTTTTTCTTCTTCGACCTGTTGTTTCTACTTCTATCCGCCCACCATCGTGTGTAGGCCTTCTCCCTATTACTGCTAGTGTATGTTGCCATTGTCGCTCGAGCAGAGGGATGGTGTGTTTTCTTGTTGTGTCTTCTGGGGCGGTTTTCACGAGCAACGGGTCGGTCATTCGGATAGCTATGGTAGCTCGCAGGTGGGATACCCATGCATGTTGGTGTTCCCTTGCTGTTTTACAAATGGCATTTGCATATATTCACACTTCGTCCTGGCATCTTCGAGAGTGATTAGATGAGTTTATCTACGTGTGGACTCTAGAAGCCCAATGTTCCGTGAGTTATTTCCACACAGCCACGACTGAAGTCCACATGAATTCAGTCCACGATGGAACTCGCAGTGATACGGGCATTTCAGGGTGAAAATGAAGGTTGGTATCGCTGGTGCTGTATCATCATCGTCCAATAAGTTGCGCATCGATCAGATGATTTCTTCGTTATCCGTCGTAGGGTATCATAACAATCTCCATCCGCGCTCCTCCCCAACCACTCCTAGCCGGTGACCGATCGAGTGACTCGCAGCCAAGCGTCATGTTCACACCGCCAGTCCAGGGTGCTGTCTAGCAGTCTCAACCGCAAACACGCTTCTTTCAAGCCTTGTCCAGCCTCTTCCTCAACTCCCTCTCCTTCGTCAAGACCTCCAACTCGAGCCTCTCGACACTATACTCCAACCCCTCCCTCCTCTGCCTCACAGCCCTAGCCCGCAGCGCGCTCTCCCCATTCAACCCCTTCTTCTTCCCACCACTTCCACCAAAACCTCCCCTCCCCTTGGCCTTCTTCCCGTATCCGTCGTTTTCCTCCGACGGCGCAGCCAACCGGCCCTGCAAGAGCTCACACCGCGCCTGCAGCGTCTCGATGCGGCGTTCGCGGCGCGCAATCTGCGCGTCGGCGCGGTCGAGGAGTTTTGCGATTTGCGGGCCGATTTCGTCGCGCAGCGAGGCCTCGGCGGCGGCGAGGGTGGGTTGGGGGATGAGTTCGAAGTGGCGGGTGGGACGGAGGACGGAGGCGAGGCGGGGGAGGTCGGAGACGCCTGTGTCGAGGGTGGATACGGAGTTTTGGAGAAAGGTTAGGGAGGTGCGGAGGGAGGCTACGCAGTCTGCGTATGTTGCTGCGTTTTGCGACATTGTTGTTGTTTGACGTGTGTAGTGGTTGTGGTCGGGGCTTGTTGGTGGGGGTGGTTTTGTTTACCACCTAGTTTTGGCCGATTGTGTTGCAGTATGGTTGGTGAGGTGGGTTGGTTTGATGCTGGGGATCCGTACGATTAGATCAGGGTCGCTGCCTCGCTGTCACGAGAAGGAAAAGTTGCAGAGGGGGTAGTATGGCGACGGGAGTGTTGTTGGAAGTGGCGTCGATGGTCGAATTGGTTGTTTTGGGAGGTTTAGCTTGGAGGGGATGGACAAAGTCGAGCTTCGATTGTTTACCCATGGCCCCGCTAACTCAAGAACAAGTGAGTACGTACCGACCAGGGAGGAATGCACGGGCCATTGGTCCTCGGTGAGGCTCGGTGTGAAGCCACTATTCACAGCTTCTTGGCACTTAGATGTGGCTAGGCACGGGTGATAAATGGCTTGAAGCCCGGAAATATAAGCTTCAAGGCTTCAGATAGCCTGGTTATAATCTGCAATATACACAGAAAGCGGCAATCTATTACATGGTGATGGGCGTTCGTGATCAAAGCACACCGCGACTTCCACGTGGGTATTCGTGAAGATGAAAGGCAGGAGCATAGCATACTAGGCGCGGACAGGTCCTTCCTAAACACCGGAATTATATATCTAGGCGCTTTACCATTCGGTCTTGCCAGGTGAACCATATGTCGTCCAACATGACTTACACAGGCAAGTATTAGAAAGGCACAAAAAATAAAGAGAGCAACATCAAAAGAGTTCACCCCCCGGTGGGGGCTACATCTCTGGTGCACATGCCGGGATTCGAACCTTGACCCTGGCGAAGGCTAAGCTAGTTGAGTAGGCTCGCCCGTGACCATCCCGCCAAACGGCAGTTTGACCTGACCTCACAGGCCTGTGAGGCGCCTGCTGCCGTTGGTGACAGGAATGGAGTTGAGGGGGGGTATAAGGGAAGGTTCGTGTGAATACGCACTAGGTGGTGTATACCATCTATCGTGCCGGGGAAGAATCTCTACCTTGACGGCCGAGGCGTCTACGACGACCCGGGCCACTGGATCCAGATTTGAATACTTACTCACCAGGCGTATCGTAACACGACACTCAACGACGGAGAGGCCGTCATCTCACTTTGCCTACCCTCTTTTTTCTTGTTGGCAGTTCTCTAAATTATTTTCCAGTAATCCTAATTGCTATCCCATTGACTGCTGGATGGCGTCACTACATCCGTCACTACATCCGTCACTATATCCATCTCTAGTCTTTCTCTAATTTTACTCTATTTCGAGATTATTTATAAGCGGATATAAAGGAAATAAGATCAGATTATTAAATTATTTGTTATTCCTCTTCTTAAAGTACGTACCTTATACTGACGCTATCTAGCAGTTGATGGGATAGCGAGCACTTACCAATCCCTGAATTCCAGCAAAACATATTTTTCGTGTTAAAGACGAACAAAGCTTCGACGACCTCTGGGCACACCCTGCAGCTCATTTTCTGAGATTATTGGTATCACATATAAGCTCATCTTTGGCAGTAAACCTTACCATTAATGCAATCAATCGTTTATCTGTCTTGACCATAGGTTTTGAGCATCTATAAAATCGCTGACTTCTGATAGTGTTTGACCACCAAAATCATCGAGCTCGCATAAAAACTGATACGCATTGCCGTGAGCCCTTTAATCAAAGAAATCTTTGGTCCATCTCATATGATGGCGAAAGGCGGCGACCTTAACAGCTGTCGAACGTGAAGATGCGAATACAGCTCAGTAATCACGAGTAGTTCGAGTTTGAGAGTGGGATTCATATGATTTTCGAACTTTAGCCAAGCTTCTTCGGCGAGCCCGAATCCGGCTCATTCCGAGTGCTTTGCGCCAAGTGGTCATGCAGTCTCACCAAGTAAGCAGCCTCATTTCAGCGGCCGACAACGAGTGGCCAGAGGTTTTGGGGAACCAAAAACGGGCCAGCCATTGATTGAAGCGAACATGCAGTGAGAAACATCAATGCCAGCTGGTCTTACTCTCATTAGCCCAGCAAGATGTCGCTCAGATTTCCGCAGCGTAGTGGCGTTGTCTCCCGACTACCCACCATGGTCGAGACTCGAGGACCCAAAGCAATACGAGCCAAGAGGCCTGGTTTGTTGAGTTTGAAGCCCCTCGTGGCCCTTAAACGTGTATTCATCAACCATATGATGATACCGCTTGCTCCGATGCATGCCTCCACTTGACGCCCGCAAGACCGCTCACTTCGGCTGTGGCTGCGGTCAATATCGTGGTTCGAGCCCCTTTAGCAAAATCTGACGAAAGACTGCATGATTTTCGCAGCACCCATTGAATCCATGATCTGGCCTGTTACGCTAAGACATCAGCAGAGCCGCGCCAAAAGTTATGGCCATGAATTTTCTCTTAAATGTGACCAGCCGAAACCATGCTTCAACATCCGTAGACAGCACCTCAATGCTCAACTTTGAAAGCATATTACCTCACAGATCCTTTCGTCGTTTCAACTGCCATAGATCTCAATATCTCTCACAGATTCAAGCAATCAAAACTTGGGCAAGAAACAATCGTGCTCAATAGTACGCCGTTACGCAGGACCGGGCCAAATGTCCCGAGACCACAACCACCCCTCCGTGCACCCTGCAGCAGGCTCAAATGTAGGGACTTCCCCCATCAAAGATTTTTTGACGGCACTTATTCGAGACTCACCATCCTCAGACATCAACATCGGACACAAATGGCGTCAAGCCAGCGGGCTCAGGTTCATCCGCCAACAGCACCGCTACCGTCATCGTAGCCGTCGTCGTGGGTCTCCTGTTATTGACGATAATCGTCTGCATCACTATTACGGAACACCACAAGAAGAAGGCCACAGAACACTTGGGAGCCAGGGCGAGCGAAGACAAAGAGAGGGCGTTGGCAGCGGGTGGTTCGAGGGAGTCGATTGGGAGTTTCCAATCCGAGCTGAAAGAACTTGAACCTACGATGAAGATGGTCGCTCGTATAGGGTGCTAGAGAGCGCTAGAAACAAGGTGTTCAACCAATTCGCGGTAGAATTATCCCTCCGAGACATGAATAAGGATCATGTTGGAATTTCAAGCCACCTGCACCACCTGGGGTATTTGTCTCAAAGTTCCGTTCAGCGTCGGCAGGACCTGGTTGCTTCTAATTTCCGCGGTCATTCATATGAGGTTGTGATCCTTTCGGAGTTCGGCAGTTACCAAGTCCAGACTTTCACAGCAATTGCTCGATGTCAGATCAGAATCAGTCCGTGTTCCTCGAGTCTGGTTGGGGTAATGAGACCGGTAGTAGACTTAACTTCCGGACCCACTCGGATCTAACGGCCGTGCAGCAACTCCGGTACGGGCCGGCCGCACGGACGAAAAGAGCCGTCGGTCTTGCGCTATGGCATTTGTCGTGAGGGCCAGTTCGTGTAAGTGGTTATAAGAAATCTACTTCACCTCCATGATCCTCACATTTCGGAGAGAACACAGGCATCCTCGTCACAGTCACTGACCTCACACATAACCAGTTTCCAATAACCCCCAACCTTCTACCCTCTCCAATCGCTCATCACCCCGCAAACATGGAATTCAATCTCAGCGAGCCCAACCGCAAGATCCATGCCGGCGTCATACTGACGAAAGGGTAAGTATCCTGACCTCCTTCCCAAGTCCCAGCAGATGTATTGAGACGTTCGCAGAGTTACCGAAATGCTCGATGTTGCACCTTTCGAATTCTTCGCCTGGGCCGACAAGGCGTCGCGACAAATGTTGAACCTCCCCCAGGAAATGTGGGAGGATAACCTTGAGTTCGAGCTACACTGGATCACCGAGGACGGCAAACCGGCCCAAATGAAGAGCAGGGCTCAGATTCAGCCGACTGTAAGTCGCGCGAGACACCTCCTTCCACTAGAGAATTCTTCCGATACTGATACTTACAATCCAGGACTCCTTTGAGTCGTGCCCGCCCTTGGATATCGCCCTTATGGGTGCCCATAACTCCGGCGACTACAAGACCAGCGAAGCTGAGATCGCCTTCATCCGCAAGGTCTACGAGCAGTGCAGCGCCTTCTTGACCATCTGTGGCGGCATGTTCCCGCTTCTCGAGGCCGGCATTCTGGCAGGTAAGACGGCAACTTGCCCTAGAATGATGGTCGGTATCATGAAGAAGAATGTTCCAGTCGTCGATTGGGTTGAGACTCGCTGGGCGCATGACGGAAAGCTGTGGACCTCGAGCTCGTTGCTGAATGGCACCGACATGATGCGTGCTTTTGCTGAGCATACGTGGGGAGGCAAGAGCAAGACTGGGTGGGTCGAGGCGGTCCTCGATCTTGGGGGATATCCTGTGAGAGACGTCGACTTTAAGGATTTTGAGGGGCACAATTACCCTATCGAGCAATATCCGTTCTAGTCGACAGAACAATCAGCTACGTCGTATGGATCAGATCAATTCGTAGTGAAAGTCTCAGTATCCTATCAACTGCTAGATGGCGTCGCTACATCCGTCTCCAGTGTTTTTCTGATTTTGCTCTATTTCGAAATTATTCATAGGCGAATTCAAGGGAAGTAGGGTCGGGTTATTATATTATTCGCTATTAAAGTACGTACCTATGTATCGACACCATTTAGCAGTTGATGGGATATGAGTTTAGAAAAGCAGAGATCTTGTCTCAAACTTGACTTCCCTGTGGCGACGGAGATGATGCTACACAGTGCATATACCATCTAAGCGTACATTTGTAAGCACTGTATGAACTGTGTGGGTCTTTTCGGTGACTGCCGAACCGGCGGTGGTTCCTGCGGTCCGGTCGTGTGGTTCGTCACTGACCGGTGTGGTAAACTCCGATGCGGAGTGATGTCAGGCCGTCGCACGTCCCTTCCATCTTCACCCACCTTCCGACTTCCCCAGTACATCTCGAATCATCACACCAACGTCACGTGAATTCTTCACAGACTTAGACAACGTCCTAAAGCCTCACACGCAAACATCTCGAATCTTCAAGCAAAAGTATCCAGAAAGCTTCAACATGTCCCTCAGAGTGAGTGGTCCGAGGTAGTAACAGCAGGGGCCCCCGCTGACACCAACAGACTCTCGGCGCAAAGGCGGCCGCGGCCTTGGACAAGGACCTCATGAGCACTGGTGCCTTCTCCATCGACCAGCTCATGGAACTTGCCGGGCTATCCGTCTCACAAGCAAGTGAGTTCCTGCAAAGGCCGATGCTTGCTGAGGTTTTCGGTTGACACCTTGACGCAGTTTATCGCGTTCACCCTCCATCTCGAGGATTGAACATTCTCGTTGCATGCGGCCCCGGTAATAATGGTTAGTACCCTTGGAAGATCCCGTTGGCTCGACCGCCAAGCATCTGACCAGGATCCCTGCACAGGTGGCGATGGCCTCGTGGCTGCCCGACACCTCCGTCACTATGGCTACAAGCCAACTATCTACTATCCCAAGCGGAGCAAGAATGATTTGTATCAGGTGAGTGAAGATGCCATTCGCTTTTGTCTATCTCGATCGGGTCGTTCGGCGCATAGTACATGGGGATGCTCTTGCAATTACATACCATCTATCGGCGACTCCTCTTCTTTGAACTCTTCGTCATCCGAGCTCATGATGCTTTTGTTCTCCTCCCACGCCACGCTATGCAAATGCACAACTCTATGATTCTTCTCTCGAGGAAAGGAGTAAAGAAACCGGCAGCATCTTTGCGTGTATATGGTGCTGCCATAGAAAATGACCCCTTCGTTCTCCGCGGGGCTTGCCGTCGATCGGCCAAAACTCGAAACTTTGCTGACTGAAGATTCCTCAGCGGTTGGCGCAGCAGTTGGTGGATTTGGACGTTCCGTTTGTCGATGATTTCCACACAGCGGTGAAGTCTACCGATCATATCGTGGATGCCATCTTCGGTTCGTTCTTTCCCTCTTGTCTACACCGTAATCCGTGCACGTGCCTGACATTTCGACGCCAGGATTTAGCTTTTCTGGAGAAGTCCGGGAGCCTTTCCCCGCGGTAATCAAGGCGCTCGAAGAAACAAAGTTGCCAGTAACTTCGGTTGACGCCCCTTCATCGTGGGATATCGAGAATGGCCCGCCGTCGTCCGGCCCTGGAAGTTCGTTCCAACCTGAAGTCCTCGTCAGCCTGACAGCACCAAAGCCACTGGTGAAGCATTTCAAAGGACGGCACTTCATCGGCGGAAGGTATGTCCTGAGTCCCTGATCCTACCAGGCTTGAGGAATTTGTTGGCTAACCTTGGGAGCAGATTCGTATCGCCGGGTATTGCTGAAAAATACAATTTGGAAATTCCGCAGTACGAAGGCATCGACCAGGTGGTGGAAGTTGATAATAACGGCCAGAAGCTGTAAAATTGTCAGTCGATTAAAAATTTACCAAAATTTACTCTGTGTCTCAGGGTACTTACAGTCGGCTCTTGTTTTCTCTCTTTCTTTTCCGAAGTTTCTCCCTAAATGACCAAGCAGCCCCCCACGCGGCTATTTGGACAAACAGGACTCGGACATCGCCCGTCGAGCATCTGCATTGGGTGTACTACAACACCAAATGGACACTCCAATAAAGGAGGATGATATGCGTGACAAAAGGCGACATAGACGAGGAATAGTCTCCGACAGACTGGGCAAACAGATTTGTGCTCAACACACATGAAACCGAGTGAAAAGGATGTTGAGCCTCTCGGACAGCGTGTGACGAGTGATTCGGAAGAAGTTTGTTTGAAAAAGGGCAACATGAGAGTATTATCCTGGATTGAAATGACTGACAGAGAGAACAATAGGCGAAGGGACCACGAAGCCAGTTGGACAGCGTGCCAAACCGGTGGCCTTGGTGTGGCTGATATAAACAACGGCTGTGGCTGCCCCGCGACCTTGGATCAGGTCATCCAATGGAGAGCAAGGTTTTGAAGGAATTGCCACACAATGGGTTCCACCAGGACCCCTTGCTGGGCCGGAGCGTTTTCGACGACGACGGACGTTGCGGACGGAGGATATCGAAGGGTTCTCTTCTGGTTGGTCAGTGCGGACAGGGTCTTTGAACCGGGGCGCGGGAGAGGCGAGCCAGTACGACTACGCAACGGACTCGACGGGAAGAAGAGTTTAGGTGGTGTAGGATGTACGTTGTACCTAGGGGGGATGGGCGGGAAGAAGACAACGGAACGAGGGGCGAGCGGAAGGGGAAGAAAGGTTTAGATGAGAAGGGCAGGGCAAGTTTGGCGGCGGCGGAATGGAGCGGATAAGGCGACAACAGTGAAGCACAGTTCTAATCATACTGGACAAAATTGATTTGTCTGGTTGGGCATATGATTTGGTGCGTTTCCATATCCCGTTCTTTTTTTCCACGGTATTCCCCTCTCTTGTTAGAGGTACTCTGTACTCTGTACTCTGTACACTTTGCCTGCCATAAACCTTTTTTTCTCACAGCTGCATCCCCAGGTCAGGCCCCATGTCCGGGTCAGGTAAGGTACATTGGAGGGTGCAAAGCCACAACTCTGGGCCCCCTTCAATGGGGGGAATGGGTGGGAAGACCTCGAAAGGAAGGGGAGAGCGCGCGGGCAAAAAGTCGAATGGGGACATCTCCAACTCACGGCATAGAACAAGCTGGGCCTTGCCGGAGCAATCGCTCCGTTTACCCCTGTTATAGGCCCGAGCGGCAAGGCAGCGCTTACGGGGCCGCATGGAGCACTGCGTGGTACTACCGAACAGGACCCGCTTATCCTCTGTTTTTTCTGGGACGGAAGGACTGAGGTGGAAGACTGGAGTGCAGTGCACTTGCCTTAGTGGTCTTGTGCCGCCAGTTGTAACTTGTGGGAGGAGCGAGAGAGTTCCACCTTGAGGGAGAGAGTGGAAGCCACGGTTGGTGGCCGTCCCTCTTTCACTGAGGGAGGTGAGAGGTACAAGTCTACGAATACATACCTGTATGGATACACTACTCGTACATGGAAGGGAAGGAACACCTCAGAATGAAAGTGCCTGGGTCCCAGAATACCTCGGGACCCCGTCAAGCCTTCCAACCGGAGCAGAATTATTGTGTTCATTCAGGGAAGGTCCAAAGTGAAAAAAAAAAAGAAGAGACGAAGAGACGAAGAAAAGGGTCCAGCATGCACTTTTGGGCGAGATGTAGCAGATACTTTCCACCGGCTCAGTTGCTCCTGCTCTCATTCCTTCATCCCACCTCATGGGCCCAAGGTATTTCTGTACCTGACCCTTCCTTACCTCGCTTTCCATCTGTCCTCTTCTCTCTTTCACACTCCCGTCCCGTCGTCTTCTTGCGTGCCAGCCTTGCGCTTACTTACTTCATCCATCCATCTTTGCCCCCCTCAGCTGCCAAAAGCTTTCCCCATCGACCAACACCAGGCGGGCCGGTTCATATGCGCTAAACCATTTACCTGTCGGTCTACTCTCTTCGCTCCTCGGATCTCGACAACTGCCATTGTTTGTCCTCGGCCTCCGAGTGCCGGTCGTCCCAACGTCTAGCATCTACATCAGGCTCTGGACTATTCTCTCCGGTCGCAACACGGCAGCTTTTGGTACCCAATGCTGAGGTGTCCCGAGGAAGATGTGGTGGTTCACTGCCCAGAGACTTCACGTCAGCAAGGGTAGGACAACCATGCGTGGCCGGGCCGCCCGCGTGGCTCTGCCGCTCTCAAGCCAAACAGCGGTTCGCAAGACGTCATCGACACTACCAGGAATGGGGGTGACCAAAAACGCACCATTGCCCCATGGATTCTCGTGACCACGAGGGCAGAAAAAAAAATCCCCTTCTACCTCAGTCGCGGGACTGATCTTTAGGTTCTCCGAAACCTCGGAGCATCACTGTCTGGTTCGCCTCTATCTCACGACAACTTACGATCGGTTGGGTCGGACAACGCGAAAGAGACAATCCTTATCCTTGTCAGGTTCACATGACGAAGCCTGTGTCAGTTGGGCACAACGACACCGTCCTCCACGTCCTGACAACAGACGATTCCACGGAACTTGGCGGTGCATTAGCGACAGCAGACCTCAGGGTGCCTGAAGTTTCTGGTGCTTTCGAACAATTTGGCCGCGTCCCGCCCTAAGATGAGACCCTGGACGGGAATGCCCTCTGGGCCTCCCGTCAGGATGGAGCTAGAAGCTACCGGACGCAGCGATTAACCTTGACTCGGCCCCCGCCAAATTGAGGCTGATGCTTTTTCTACTGCAGATGTGGTAGCTTGGAGCCATGCAGCCATGCAGCCACGCAGACGCAATGGTTGGACCAAAGATGGCCCGTTAGCCTGGCGATCCCTTCGAAAAGACGGGTTTCCAGGGATCGCGCCGCTGCCTAAGCAGAAGTCCTGCACAGGCCACGCCGTCTATCACGCGAATCCGCATAAGCCGAAAATCATAGTCTGATTGCGCAATTACCTATGCGCAAATCAAGAGTAGAACCAGCTCTTGAATCCAAGACACTTACAGCTAGCTGGCTGGCTTCGCGCCGAGGTGTGCTAGATGAAGGATTTAAGCCTGAGTGCTTGCTTCAACTCGACAAAGTCGTATTCGCGAAGGTTTAACCCGCCGTCCAGAGCTGTGGCCCCTGGTCATTAAGCGGGGACGAGGGGCGTTGGCCGACAGCGTGGCGGATGACGGACACTTCCGACCAGATTGGCAGATTCGACTGTCCTACTTGGGCCTTCTCATGCAGGGATCCAGCAAGGGCAATACATCATCATGTTGAATGGTTTGGGTTGTCCTGAAACGAACGACGAATCATCATGTTCTTCCGGCACCGGAGGCTCTCCGTCGGTCCCAGGAGAGCGGATACATCCGGATACATGTTGGACACCTTGGAGACAATACTGCATGCAGAGCGGATTCATCGCAGAGGTTCGCGGCAGGCAGATAGATGTTGTTGCAATGCTGCTCTTGCTTGCTGATTTCCAGTGTTCCACAGACTATCAGAACCACCAGCCCACGCCATTTCAACCGTCGGACTTGATTCATCATCTTCTTTGGAGAGTTCCTCCGCCTCTTCGATTTTTCTACACTAGTCATCTTGATATTTGGTACACTAAATGCCACCTGCTACCCTGCCTTCCGGCACTGTGGCATTTCGGAGGTTCGTTGCGGCAATGATTCGGCGGCCACAGTTGGCGCCCAACGAGATCGAGTTTTCTTATCATTCCAGCTCTCCCGCCATTCCTGACTCTGATGCACCCTGAGCATGGCTGTCTGTGGAGACGCCTCTTGAGTCGTGCAAAAGCTTTAAAACATAACGATCCCTTGCCCATTGCTTTTCAGGGTCCGTGACAGGAACCTGCCGCAGCGTCGGTAATGGGTGGTTGACGTCGGCAACTAGGGCCGTCTACGACTTTACGTCGCCTGCTTTGAAAAATGCTCAATTTGGATCGATGCGACACTGTGTTGCATCTAAATTGTCTATCCGGACTCTGCGCTGTCAGGCAGCGAGTCTTGGCATATTCTCCTCCACCTGTTGATGCCAGACGGGGCTCCCGTGGCGGTTCTTGCGCGCGCCCTGAACTGTGTCTTGGTCATTTGGAGTCCGATTTGCAGTTCCCGTGATATCTGAGTCGGAGCTGACTCCGGTCTGGCAACTTTTTGCGCCAGCGCAGATCATAAACTAAGGCCGCGCAAGTCGGCCATGTGGGATTACTAGTGGCCGCATCATTCTGGCCACACAAAACATGGATAATTTACGCAAGCCCGCGTGCCCGCGTCAAGGATCGACATATCTAAGAGTAGGAACTGACAGTCAGCGGCGATCGTTCCCCATCTTAGTGGAGGGCCCATTGTCAGCCCGTGGAATCTCAGTTCTGCTCTCTTTCGAATCCGTCTGTCACAGTTGCAGCAAAACCAACCAATTTCCTAATATTAATGGATGTGGAGTTTGATGGTATCCCATCCTTGCCTGCCGAAACATCGTCGCTTCAAGGTTTGTCTTTCCTTGATTATCTTAATATCGTGGTGGGACGTCTGTGACAAACTTCGGTTTCCTCGCATTCTCTGTTGCGTTGTACGGAGAATGAGGGTTGCTATTAGACTCCTCGACAAGATTCGCGAAGATTCGAGGTCGTTGGAGATCCGGTGGGGCACTGAGTTTCCTCGTGTCTTACGGTGCGGGCGGGGCTGGTGAAGCGGTCCGAAACGGCAGGATAAATCCGTACCTTAGGTACACATGCACTTACAAAGTCATCTTTCACTGCGTGGATAGGGAACTCGTGAGTAATTCTCAGTACACCTTGGGGTACACTGTCAACCCATGCCTGTTGTATCAGAGGGGGAAGAGGGGAGCACCAAGTTTGTTTCAACGTCAACCAACGATGTTGGGCGTTCATGGGAAGCATTGCCTGTCTTCGTCTGATGTCGGCCAAACCTTGGACATTTCTAGTGGATGTTGGAGCCCTCACGAACCCAGTAGTTATATCCAGAAAACTCTTTTTAATTACTGCTGTGCTTGTGTTGAATGGCTTGCCACCCCTCAAACTTGAAGGTTGAGTTAGTCATGGCGGAGTTTATGAGCCACCTCGCCGGCATCAAGCGTATAATCCTGGAGTAACAGCAAGACCCCGGAAGCATGTAACACCTATATCGCTTTGTACATTATACAAGTCTTGTATCATCTACATTTCACTGCAATATGACGGTGAGTGGTGATCCCAGCCTCAGCCCACAGAGTCTGAGCCGAGGGCCGGGGCTGAAAGGTAATGATATTAGGTACCAACATCACGGAGCCACATCGCAGGGATCCCGAGGCCACTTCAGAAACGTAAGTGGCGATGAAATAGTGTAGAGTCACTAGCCACGTGTTTGATTCTGTGAGATAAGCTCTAGATCTCTGCTCATCTTCCGCTTCATAACCTGCCATCGAGTCTTGGCCCTGTTCGATAGACCGTGTTCTAGACCCGAGTAGAATCTTCTGGCGTCAGATGTCAACCGTTTCAATCTCATGCTTAAACTGTTGACGCATCTCTCGACGCGAAACATACTAGAAGGTCCGGACATACTCTTCCTGTTGATAGCCCTGTGGACCGCCGTTGACGTGGTCTCGACGGGGCGGAGGGAATTGTATGTCCCCATCTTCGTCAAACATAGATCGTAGTGGCCTCGAAGGAGGTACGTTGTGATGCGACTCGTTTGCCCCCGATGGCAGAGGCGGTTTGGTGGAGTAGAGGCGCAGTATTGGCACCATGTTGACTGAATGGTGTTGCAATCGTGGCATTTGATGATGTGGATTGTACACATCTTGGAAGTGGCGTGGTGGTGAGGGCATATCTGTGAGTCAGTCGAATTTATTCTGATGAGGTGAGCAAGGCTAGGAAGGTCCTTTTTCGGTTGCTGTATAAGTCGATTTGTGGAGAGAGTAGGCCTTGAAACACAAAGCGATTGTGTTAAAGAAGTTCTTGATGTTGCCATCATCGTGGCGGTGAATTGCAGTTGAGCCTACATCGTCTGATGATTTGCTCAGCAGGGCAAGTACGACGAGTGAATGGCTTCAGTTCTCACGACAATATAATTGTATCGAGACGTATGAAGAGGTATTTGCCGCCTTTCTCAGTATGACTTCGGCCTGTGTCTCCCAACTTAGAGTTGATAGTCCTAGAAATTGTGGAGATGTATCGCTTAACGAGTTGTATGAGTCCGCGCAATCGTCACTCGATGTCTTTCTTGATATTGTACCGTCAGTCTCACGATAATTAAAAACCCTCAAAGTCATTTAGATGGTTAGTAAAACTGGGCTACATGAGTCTGGCCTGGATACAGGGGCCGGGTCACACAGCCAAATGACGGGTCAGTGGCTGCTCCCAGTTTGCTGCAGTTCTACTGGGAAAAACGCCGGTCAGGGGAGGAAACCATTTCGTCGGCTGCATGGCAGTCTCCCGTTGGAATATGACTCAAAATCTGTTTGTGAGGTCACACTCAGGTGTCAAGATAAGCTGGCACACTATCCAAGTTGCCTGGGGGGACAAAATGTTGCTAACTTGAGAAATCACTGCATGATCGAGGATATATTCTCTTCGAGCTGGGGATCCTGAAAGCCCTGAACTCGATGGGATAGAAAAGGAACCATCGCCACTCTTCTAACGTATTTGGTTTGCAGGTGCGTCCCCGTAAAGTATTCTTGCTTAATTGGGTTGTTACGTAGAACCATAGCCTGGAGGGAAGCAGGCTCTTAGACATGAAACTTTGGGCATTGAATTTAAGACTACCCCTGTAGGGAGTTTGATCCAGCAGTGAAGCGTCATACCACATCCACCGGTCATACCACGGCAACCCTTAGTGACGAGCTGTCCCGAAAGAAAAACGAATCTCCTGTATGCTTGAACCCTCGACGGGGAAAGGGGGCACTTCTTTCATGGGTGAAGTACATTTGCAGTCAAACCCCAACAGGGGTTTGGCATTTGCTGATTATCTTCACCCCTCATTTAATTTGGCACCAAGCCGAGGTTTTTTAACGCTTTGCAATCCATCGTGCAAATTTTTCAATCGGTCAAGCGATGTCAAGGCGGCTAAAACACATACAAATGCCGGATCAAACACTCCGAAGCACCCTAGCCCCTAAGCAGGCAGGCTTTGCCGGTGTCAGTCTTAGCCTGATCAGTGATATCTTTGGTTAGATTCTCGTTCAGATTTCATCCCTTTTCCCTTTCCGAAGGAACATCCGGGAGGAACCCTCCGTCCAGCTGCGTAGGCTGCTCGAATCCCTAGTCCCCGGAGAAGACTCCCCGAAGGCTAACTCTCGTCATCCTTACGGAAGATGAATCAAGAGAGCCTTGGAATGTCGCAATCTTCCAGGCGCGTCCCCCATAGACCCGTGTAAGGCTTGTGCTCCTGTTTCCATATGATGCGTCGGGACCGTATGCAGACCCGCGAACGTGTCTGTGCTAGCTTCTGACATGTTCCTTGGTTTGTACACAGTGAGTTCCTAGCGGGAAATGCCCTACTCATATCCCTAACGTGGACTACTGGAGAGGTTGTGAAGCGCGAGTCAAGACTTATTGGAGCTCACATAAAGCAATCGCTACGTCCATCGAATCAGAGAACATTTGGCCATTAATTTCAAGTCCAATTCTGTATTGTAGTAGATGTGATATCACCCCTATATTCAATGTTGATATAAATGGTGTTCTAAAGCATGTGCCTAGTGCAACAAGAAGGGTTCACTGCTGGGTCATGCCGGGAGGGCAGGGACCAGTGTAGTGCTCACACTCAGCGACCCATTCACCCTTGCCTCCGTACTTAGCGTCGCAATCGGCTTGAGTGATGGGATTGTTCAGGATACACTATTATCACGTCAGTACTTGCATCAAGCTTGCACTGAAACTGGCAAAACATCGAGGCGTCTTACCGCTTGTACGTTGGTCTTCGGGTTCCAACAGCGGGTGTGACCCAAGCCTGGTCCACAGAACTTCAGAGCAACCTTAAGGTTAGGCTGCTCTCTGTTACGGCAGTTGCACATCCAAGCCGAAACAGCATTGGGGGCGCTGAACCATCATGTCAGTTATTGAGTTGTAATAGTGTAGAGGCGAATGTGGTCTTACAGGAAAGTAAAGGCGAGAACAACTGCAACCTTCATCTTGAACTAAGACCTTGGGTTCTTGGTAGGTATTGAGAACACAGTATTGAGGTACCTTAAGAGACTTAGGTATTGATGGAAACGATGAGATGGATGAATGTTCTCGATGAATACTTGGGCGATTTTTCACGCCTATTATACTTACTTCAGCATCATATTGACACCCTCACTTGATTCTTTCCGTTGCCTTAGTTGTAGAGACTTCGCATTCGAATCGACGTCTGTTGAGAAGCCGAGGTTGGAATAAAATTGCATCTTCATGGACCGTAATTTTGTTAGGAATGAGGCTGAAGCAGAAGTCTCTAACGACGACCCTGCCCTACCCCCCATACCCACCCAGCCTAACCCGGCTAGCTCAGGTAGCAGGGCCCAGCGGGTGGCTCAGAAGCCTGATTACAACGTTATTAATGCCTACACCCACCTCGACCTCGACTCAGAGCAGTAGGCTCAGACCGGCTACCCCACGGATACTACGGGTAACGCAGTACAACATAGGGAAGTAAAGCCCAGCTCGTATAGCTCTTCTAGAGCTCTGTGTTGCGACCCAACATGCATGACCAAGAACAGGGCCTGCCCCGCAGGCTTACGGCGGTTACGATACGCCATACATGCACAGGACAAGGTGATGATGATGATGATGATGATGTATTTAACGTCTGGTAACAAAAGGACGTGCCGGGCGCTATGCCGACATGGTCTATACTAATCTAAACTATGTTACAGGCTACCGTCTTCACCTAACGTTCCTGTTCAATGACTCGGGCAAATTTCGGAAAAGAAATTGGTCTCCTCTATCCATTCGCATAGAAGAGAGGCTCCCTTAGCAGAACCTAACAAGAAATCAATGCTTGCTTTGGCCATACGTTGGCGGAGGTAGCGCGGTGTAGCCTTGCGTCCACGCTTGCAGAAGTAGAAATGGACTGGTGTCTTGGGTTTCCCACAGCTGCAGTTGAGCAACGCATCTTGATGAGCGAATCTCTCGTGGTATGCTGCAAAGTCTCCATGATGGGATGCACAGGACAAGGGGACACAAGGCACCCTCTCACGGAACGGAAGAACTATGGTACAAGTCACGTGATGATAAGATAAGGATCATTTGGGATCAATATTGTTGGTATACACGTCAGCAGGGCAACCGTACGGTTGGAACGAAGTGTCAATAATGGTCTATTATTGCTGCGTCTAGAGGTGGAAGGAGGAGATTGTGGGCAGAGCCCACGATCTCCCAGAAGTGGTATATAAGTGAAAGGGCCGTTTGTAAGTGCCCATACTGCCTTCCGGATCCATCTTTTCTGCCGACTGCTCAGAGATCCAACAAATATGATCCAACACGACTTGGGGGCTAAACGATCATTCTGGATCAGAATGACCCAAGACGACCCAAGGGACAAGGGACATGTTCAGGATCAGGACTTGTATATAAGGATGGACTTGAGCCAAACTCTAGGACAGACTTCCATAGCTCTTCAGCAATTAACTTCGTATCAGATCTTATGATCGCTTTCAGCTATCTTCCCTGAGAACCTCTTTGATAAGACTACGATTGATCACCGCAGCCTTCCCTCACCTTACGACTTACAGACATAGCTTCCCTGAAGCTATCCCCGACTACGAATACTGTTACCAGTTCCGCAGCCTCAACTTCTGCAAACATACCTCACTACGACTAGCTGGCCGTAATAATAGACGTATTTTTTATGTATTTCTATATTTAGAGAGAATATAAGGACGTTATTAATATAAATAAAGACGAAGATGTCCATATATTCTCTAAGAACATGGTTTGCTATTGTCTAGAACGTGGCGGGTGCGTTTTGAGTCCAAAGGGTATAACAAGTTACTTAAAGAGTCCTCTGCAGGTTCGGAATGCTGTTTTCCATTTGTCTCCTTCCTTGATTCGAATCTAGTTAAATACTTCCTTAAGGTGCAGTTGGCTAGTGCGGGAAAAGTGTCAGAGTGATACAATGTAGCTAAAAGCAGTTAATATTCACATGGGCTCAGAATACCCGAAAAATGAGGCGAACGTCATGGGCACTTCTGTTTCGAGAACTTCTTAGTGCTCAGCACAGAACAATAGCAGGCACTAGAGCGGAAGCAATGATCTAAAGGTACTCACCCGGAAGAACCGAAGGAATATCTTTGGCATTGCGAAGTCAGACCACTGGACCGGGTATTTGATTTCCAATAGGTAGTTAGCTGGAACTTTCACGGCCGACGTCAAATACGGATCCGAATAACTGTATGCCCTGTCAAGGAAACTTGAACAATATGTGATGCTGGACTAGTGCGAGACTGATAGTCAGCATGCAATTGCGGTGGCTGCCGAGTCCGCTTTGCAAAAGCTTCAAATCACGGAGCACTCTTTTTAGCTAGCCATAGACAACGCATAGTTTACTGACTCGTGCAACTCCAACCATTGCAATACCCACTAGACCTCAAACATAATGCTTGCAACTTCTGATTGTGCTCCGGACTGATCGAAAGCTTAGCCATTTTACACTTTTGGAGGAAAGCTTGTCAAAGACATCGCCGCGATGATGACTGCAGTCGGAAAGTAATACTCGAATTTGGAAATCGCCAGCGCTGGACGGGGGATTTGCAGAAATGAAGCTGTTCTCAGGCACATTGACTGCTAAAGAGGTCTTGTACTGGGATAATATTATGAAAGGTATCATTCAGCCCACCACGAAACATTCATGCAGAACCTCATCACCACACTCACTTTCAAACACTCTTTTATCAACTTCCACTCGCTTCTTAGATCGACAATCTCACCATGCGTTTCGCTGCTGCTACCATCGCTCTTCTGTTGGCTGTTGCCACAGCCACTCCTGTTCCTGATGTGAACGAGGCGAACATCGCCAAGGAGATTGAAAGTGAGCTTTGTCTGCAGCAATTATTGACAGAGATCTAACCAATTGAGCAGGCAAGCCAATCGTTGACCTTGACCTCCTCCAGGCTCACGAGGCTCGTGATGTCAACCTCGCCGATGGTACTAGACCTTGAGATTTTGGCGCATATTACAAAAAGCTGACATTGTGAAGTCGTTGTAGCTAGAGCAGTCGATGAGGTCGAGAACTCGCTGGAGCGTCGTGGTATGCCAGTCCGCCCAAGTCCAGCCAAGAAGAGACCGCTGACAAATCACAGTTTGGCCTCACGACCACCAGAGTGGCATTTTCAAGGCCGGAAACGGCTACTACAAGAGAATCGTTACTGGCCTTATTATCAACGGAGTCAACGTTGCTGTGACCGCGTGGTTCAACGACATTCACACCCTTTACTTGCAGTTTGATGCTGCCTTCCCCAACGGTAAGTAGTTAACCAATAAATAAATATGACTTCCAGAAAGCTAATACTATCAAGCCCCTAACTTCATCTCCGCCGGACTTGAGGATGTCTCTACCGGTTTGGAGCGCGCTCCCTGGAGGATCAGCTGGGATGAGATCTACACCCTGGCCATCAAGCCCGGTGAAAGGTTCCAGTTCGACAACTCCTTCGTCATGTGGTGGAAATAAGCGAGCTCTGATAAACCTTCAATGTAGGAACTCGTAACAACAGTTCCGCTCACATTGAGGTCAAGAGCACGACTCGTCAGCAGCATGGTGTCTCGAAAATTCTTATCTCCGTGTATGTTCAAGGTTGAACAAGGCATCGCGGGTTTGATCCCGATGCTGGTCACTACCTGACAAAGGGGATTTGTAGAGGGGGAGGGAAAGAACGTTTTGCCAGTCAATCCTTATGTTTCAGTCATTCTATCCGGCAATATAATCTTTTCTACTCAAGAGAATTTTTAGCCTGATGTGTTCATAGTGATTGCATGTGCTGCCGATCTAAATTAGCGGGCACCCTTTTAGAGCCAAGAGGTGATGAAGGCTGGAGCGCTAACTTTTGGCAGCACAAATCCAGGGATGGGGACACTAAAATGGGTCGATGATGGGACGGTCCTTGGGGAGCATCGGATGGAAAAATCCCCTGGACCAGGGATCAAACCTTGTTCCAACCACCTCGCAGCGAACAATGACAACAGATCGATCATCCAGGGTAATCCAGTTCGCCGACACTACGAAGTTAGAGAACTTCTGGGAAATCGCATTGTTCTTTCTTCGATGTAAGGCCATGATGAGTTGGGAAATTTATGGTCTGATGTTTCGCTAATCCGAATCATCAGGGAGAACCTCAAACGCCTCCAGTCACAAAACATCGTAAGGTCTTGACGCATCCATAAGCAAACGGGAGTTCTCGCCAGCCCCATAAGAAATCATGAAACGCATGAATCTTGAGTCGGAGGATTGTGGCGCCACTGTGAGCCAGACTATAACCCTGGGCTCGGGCTTGCCTAGAACTGCAAAACATATAACGTGCGGTGATCTGGAATTCAAAAATTTCATTTGCACGGTTTAAGAGCCCACAGAAAAGAGAGCAACCTCAGTACTACTGATCAAGTCGACAATTGGGTTGATTGCACAAAGATAGAATCTTAGAAAATGAGCAACAAAACAGGTTCCAATGGGAGTATGGGCAACTCCAGCAATCCTCGCCCAGGACAATCTCCATTCCCGCCTTCCAATGCCCTTGTCCGACAAACGTCGCCAGGCGTGCAACAGAGCCAAACATACACGAGCTCATATAGCAACAACTTTGATCGGAGCAGCGCCAGATACAGTACAGGCAGAACCGATGAGAGCTCACGATACAGCCAGGAGACTACAGAACCTCCCAAGCTTTCACGCTCACCTCCATCACGCCGGGAACAAAAGAAGCCTGAGGCAAACAAGAACTGGGAGGACAGCATCTATGGAATGTACGGAGACATAAAGACGCCCAGAGAGCCACCGCTTCCCCCACCGCCGAGGCAGCAGCAACAGCAACAACGCCGCCGATATGAGCAACCAGAAGAAGATGAGGGGAATAACTCTTTTGACGAAGAGGTACCGCGGCGACCCCAGCCGAGGCCAGAACCTCAGAGACCACGCAATAGCCGGCAGCGTCAAAATTCGAGACCAGAGCAAAGGCGTCAGAATTCTCGACAAGATCAGCAAAGAAATGAACAAGATGATGACAAGGAGGAAGACGGAACGCGAAGGAGAGTACACGTCAACATCGATATTGGTGGCGATGGAGGCCGCTCCTGGTCATGGACATCCAACTCACGTGGACCAAATATGGTCAACTTCGATAACACTCCCTTTGTCGGCGGAGGCTTCCCCTTTGGCGGCCGGAACAACAACGGCGGTAGACTTCCTGTCCATATCCCTTTTGGCGGAGGACTTCCGATCAACCTTCCTTTCGGACTATGATGGCGGGATTGGATACCAGATGAAGCGCACATTTTGACGATCAATTCTAGCCGCGATACAGCTCCTTAGAAGTATTTCTCAGCCTTATGTATTATACCTGTACGTACCAACAGTAGCTAGCTTTTACTATAGTAGAAGTAGTAGCAGTATTTAACATCATTAGGGACAGGAACCCAGCTATCTAAACTAAGCTCTGATTAACTAGAATGCCCTTAAGGTACATAATATACCGTACCGCCTTTAAATAATACATAACTAATAAATTAAGTAATTTATAATGGGAATTGATACACCGGCGTCGACCTTACACCGGCGTCGCTGTTCGACCTTTTGATTGGTTTAAAAAAACAATACCTCCCCATAAAAGCGGTGAGGGTGACTGCACTAACATGGCTATTCCTGCCCTCTTCTCTAACCTAAGCTCTAATTTGAGATTTCTAAAAGTACGTATTACAGCCTACTTATACCCCAGGTTTGTAAATCTCAAATAGGGACTATATAACCCCTCAAAAGGCCTATTACCTAACTACCTTTTGCGACGTGGTTGCAAAGATTCATCGTTACTACAGACCATTTCCCACTAACTCCGTTTCCTCCGAACACTAGGCTACATCGGCCGTCCACTTGCATAATTCCCTGTTGTCCTCCCCTTCCAAGAACACTAGACTGGCTCCTTGTTTGTCGCTAGGATGAGCTTGATATCTGGCTTTGACTTGGCTAACTTGTCTCTTGTGTAAGCCCAGCTAGCGTCGACTTATTCTTGCTCCCAGGTGGGCGGCCTCGCTTCTTACTACTTACGCCTTGGCTGCTATAGGTAGTGCGGGCTTGTCTGGCTGACTGGCCCTCTGCAGGCAAGGCTAGTTATGATAGGACAGGCTGCACTATGTTCTTTAGCCTACCGCGGAGGGATGCAGCAATCTTAGGGTCAAGGATCCGGCGGTATGGATCTGAGGAAGACGTCTCTCGAAGACGCCACCGAGGGTATACCTCCCATTTACTGAAAGTAGCTAAATCTAACTTTTAGGAGTAGATCTTATGGCAGCATGGGATACCCAGCTCAATTAAAACAGTGCAGTCTAGACCACAGTCTCCAAGGGGGGCTAGGAATGGCCTCGTGCCAGACGGCATTGCCTTCTTTACCAGCCGGTATTGCTTCCCAATTAATGCAAGACACTTCGAGGAAAGCATCGTTCGAAGTTCGCCTAGGTACTCAAAGCGAGTACCTATATACTCCCGGCCTGTAAGCACTTCATCCTCAGCACAAGCTTGCCTGAAGCGTATCTCCTGGTCACCAATCATGTCCTACATAACATCAACAAGTCGATATAGGTGACTAAGATCATTTAAGAGATAACTCTTAATGTTGTTATTACTTGACTCAGTGCCAGAGGTGACGCGAACACCAAAGTTCTAATATTTTCGGATAGAGCAGCGGGCCCACTGTGCTCTTAAAGGTAGGTATGTTATGTTGAGGTACTGGAGGATTGGGCGTTGGTCGTTAAACTCTTTACAGAGCTTGGTCCAGGCTTTCTCAAAAGCGTGCTCAGTCTCAGCAAAAACAACAAGCTTCCACATCATAAGGACCCCACGATACGTATGAGGGGGGGGCTTATCAATAGATGTGTTGATATAGGCCTCATCCTCATCACTTAGCGTGGCCATTGCTTGTATTGGTAGCTGATATCCCTCGTCATTAGACCCACTGCTGTTACTGCTACAGCTGCGGTCCTTAACCCACTTCTGCTTAGCCCTGAGCATAACGTTAGAATTGATGTGGTGGATGCAGAGTTGTTGCTGAACGTCTGGGAACTGCTCATTCAGTGCAGCCTTCATCTGCTTGTCGTAGTCTGTAATAATAACAGTGGGGTAACGGACTGAGTGTTGGTCCATGAGTTGGCGGATCCCTGCTGAGAGAAACTGGAAACCCTCTAGTCTCTCGTTGTCGATAAGGCCAAACGCAGCGTTGTAAACAGATCCAAGGCAGGTTTGCCCAGTAGCTTGGAAGAGAGGGAGCTTAAAGCGATTGGTATTGTAGGTGTTGTCAAAGCTAATCACAGGGAATCACTTCCACATTTGGAGACAGTAGGGAAAGGTCCAGACAAGGCCAATAAGGCGGTTTGGCTCGGCGTCTGCCCATTTCACCACGTATAGGATATCTCGCTCATCAAACAGCTTGATTAATACTGCAGTTAGCGAATATCCCGCTAGTTTCTCTCGGTTTATACGAGCCCTAGCGTTATAGATATCTCGCTGGGTAAATAAGGACTCTGGGAACTGCTCCTGGACAAGAGCACGCACATCGCGAGCCCGAATCCCAACTCGTCGGCTTGTAGTTTCAATGGCATCCTGAAGTGGCTGGGTAAGCCTGCGATGTGAAGGGTGTGCAGTAGCTTCAAGGCTAGGGCCATGATTATACTAACTATACTAGGGGTCTAGGTGATAACGTAAAAGCCACTTACCCTCCTCTTAAGCCTCGGCAATAACTTACCATTTACAACCGCATTTACGAGACTTGCGCTGTCGAATACCAGCACCTTGTGTAGGCCCAGGCTCGCCAAACCGATCACACTGGAAGGTGTATCGAATGATTCGGCCTCGAGCTTTATGCCTATTCCGCTTTATAATGCCAAATCCATTAGCTCTTGCAAAGGTATTAACTCGGTCGAAGAGGGCATCATAGGTTTGCTCTGGATCGCCAGGAATCGGTGGGTTTGGGATTTCGGTTATAGGAGGAGAGGAGGATCGGTTGCTTAGAGTGTGGTAGGAGGCTGCAGTTCGGAAAGACGCTTCGCTTTGAGGGGAGGATTGCCGTGGGGGTGAATAGGGTGGTGGGTTGACTTGGGGACCCCATGTTTCTTGCCATTGACGGACATAGTCTTGTTGTCGGAGGAGTGCCGTTGTTAGCTGTTGATTAGTCCCAACAACCTGTAACGTGAATGATAAGCGAGTGAGACAGACAAGCGAGTGAGACACAAAACTGCGCCGATGAGATAAACTGGCTTCCATATCAACATCAACAGCATCAATTCATTTCAAACTACTCATAATCCTCATCTTCAGACATCTCTTCAATAAACTGGCACGTTCGTGAATTGTGTCCCGGGTGACCACAAACGCCACACCGTCGCTGACCTGTCTCGGCCCTCAGTTTGCGACCACTAGTACGACGCATTTCCTCCTGAACCTGCGCAGTCACATCTTTCTGTGACTGTATATCTGCTGCGTCAGCTACAGTAAGACTTCCTCCATGTTGTAGGCGTGTTTTCTTAGTTCTCCGTCGTCGACTGAGTTGGTTATTCTCGTCTCTAAGAATCTGTACCTCAGATCTAAGTAAGGCTACTTGGTGCATGATGCCTCTTGTACCTTTAGAAAGTCGTTCAACAGCCTCGCAAATAGAGGTTGGGGAGCTGCTTTGGTGACGAGTGATCCGACTCTTAATAAAGTTGGATT